CGCCCCACGAGCCCATCAGCTTCGGGATCGACCAGATCCTCGGTGGCCCCGAGCCCGCGGGCCCGGCCCGGGCGGCGGAGCCCGACTACGGGCTCTACGGCGGCGGTTACGGCCCCGCCTGCTCGCTCGGCTCCTACAACCTCAACATGAGCATGAACGTGAGCGTCAACGTGACCCCCGCGCCCGCCGCGCCGCCCGCCGGGGTCATCCGAGTCCCGGCGCACCGGCCCGCGCCCGCCCCGCCGCCCGCCGCGCCGCCGCCGGTGCCGGGGCTCTCGGGACTCACCTTCCCCTGGATGGAGACGACGCGGCGCATCGCCAAGGACCGGCTCTCAGGTGAGCGCGGCGGGCGGCGATCGACGGCTCCCGACGGCTCCGGCGGTTCCGTCGGCGCGGGGCTGGCACCGGCCGGGGTTCCCTTGCGCTCCGCGGTTCCCGCACCGCGGGGTCCTCGCCCCTCGCCCCTCCCCGCTCCACCGGGCGCCCCATGGGACGCGGCCACCGTCGAGCGAGCGGATCCCGGTGGCTCCGGGCGGACCCGTGAGGTCCCGCCGTGCGCCAGCCTCGGGCTCTGCTCCGTGTCCAGCCGCTTCCCCGGGCCCAGGGAGCACCCGGTGCCGACCCCGTCCTACGGCCACCGGGAGGCTGATAAGAGCCGGAGTGCGGGGGGAGGCTCCTCGGGTGTGGGTACCCGCTGTGGGGCCGCGGAGGGTCCCTGTGGGGCCACGGACACAGGACTTGGTGCTGGTGCTGTGGGAGAGGCTGGATTGGTGGGTGCCGGTGAGGCACTGGGGTGGTGGTGAAGGGGTCCCGGTGCTGCTGATGGGGCCAAGCACCCAGTGCTGGGGCAAGGGTGCTGGTTGGTGCACCCCAGAGGCGAAGGAGAGGGGTGCAGTTGTTGGGATGCTGTGGTTGGAGTGCTGTTGTTGGGATGCCGTGATTGGGATGCTATGGTTGGGGTGCTGCAGTTGGGGTGCCGCGGCTGGGGTGCCTCGGTTGAGGTGTCATAGTTAGCGTGCTGTAGTTGTTGTGCTGTGGTTGGGGTGCTGTGGATGTGGCACTGCAGTTGTGGCACTGTGGTTGGGTGCCCTGGTTGGGATGCTGTGGTCATGGTGCTGTGATTGTGGTGCCATTTCTGGGGGGCCATGGTTGGGGTGCTGTGTTTGGAGTGGTGTGGTTGAGCTGCTGTAGTTGGAGTGCTGTGTTTGGGGTGCTGTGGTTGGGGTTCTGTTGTTGGGGTGCCATGGATGGGGTGCTGTGGTTATGGTGCTGTGGATGCGGTGCTGGGGAGCCCTGGTGTGGCTCCTCTGGCTCATCCCAGCTCCTTCCCAAGATGGCGGCACTGCCACGTCCGCAGCGCACGGCTCCATGTGGGACGAGGCCGGGGCCGGGGGCTCTGGGGCTCTGCGAGGCAGGAGCCAGAGCCTGTGGGGGCCCAGCCCAGCCCCAGCAGAGCCGGTTCCCCCCCCGGCCCTCCCGTCATGGCGGCAGTGACGAGGCGCCAGCCCCGGCTCCCGCCTTGGCGCCGTGGTGGGTGGACGAGGCAGCCCCTCCCGGCGGCCATCACTCGGCACCGGGGCCATGGGGTGGGCCATGGGCTGCTCCCGGCGAGGGGCCCCCAGCCCCTCCGGCTGCACAGCTGCACCTGTGGGTACCGTGGCTGCCCCTGCACCGACGCTGCTGCTTGGAGCATCTCAGGGGGTGCCTGGGCTGCTGTGGGCTCTGCCCCATGTCCCTGTGCCGTGATGGGGACCCATGGTGCCCTCATGGCCCGGCCGTGTGCAGCCCTGCCCATGCGGCGCTGACACTGGCAAAGGCTTCGCCATGGGCTGCGGGAGCTGCAGGAGCTGGAGCTGTGCCACGCTCCCACCTTCCTCCACGATGCTTTCTTGTCCCTGTGCTCCCCGTGGCTCCGGTTGCAACCGGAGCTGGGATGCGGCACAATGGCCTCACCGGCTCACACCATGGCCGTGCGCACACAGCCCCTTCCCCCGGTAGCCGGCAGCTGGTGGTGTCCAGGACGGACACTGCCAGCACATGGCTGGAGACATCGGCCACCTCCTCCTGGCTTCTGGGGCCCTGACCCCTCACCAGCAGGGCTGGGCAGCTCTGGCAGCACCATGGAGTCTCCTCCCGGGCTGTGGCAGGGCTCAGCACCCCGGGAGGGTGGGTTTGTGCTGCCGGGAGCCACACCAGCCCCTCACCGGCTGTGGGATCAGGTCCCACTGGCCCCGGTGCCCTCCTGCCAGGCCAGGGCAGCGATCGCACACGGTCGTGGGATGGGGAGGGGTCCTCCCACCGCATCTGGAGCTGCTCCGAGCATCTCTGGGCCGGGGGGAGCCGGTGGGGACAACGCGGGTTCGCATCCACCCACTCCCTGCCCGGCAGCACCGGCGGCTCCCCCCGGAGCTCCCCATCCCCATGGCCCCGAGCATCCCCCCCACTGCCGGCTGCTTCCGCACCGGGGCCCCTCCCTCACGCCGCTTCCCCGCAGCCGCGCTGGCCCCGTTCGCCGCCACCCGCCGCATCGGGCACCCGTACCAGAACCGGACGCCGCCCAAGCGCAAGAAGCCGCGCACGTCCTTCAGCCGCGGGCAGATCTGCGAGCTGGAGAAGCGCTTCCACCGCCAGAAGTACCTGGCCTCGGCCGAGCGCGCCACCCTGGCCAAGGCCCTGAAGATGACGGACGCTCAGGTCAAGACCTGGTTCCAGAACCGGCGCACCAAGTGGAGGTAACGGGGACAGCACCGGGGCACCAAGGGGAGGTAACGGGGACGGCACCGGGGCACCAAGGGGAGGTAACGGGGACGGCACCGGGGCACCAAGGGGAGGTAACGGGGACGGCACCGGGGCACCAAGGGGAGGTAACGGGGATGGCACCGGAGCAGACGTTGCAGCCACCGTGAGCAGGAGGACGGGTCCCTATCCCTGCTGCATCCCCTGGGCATGGCTGAGGCACGGCCCTGCCAAGGGGAGATGGGGCTGTGGCAGGTGGCTGTGGGGTATTGATGCACAGTGGTGCCAAGGGAGGGATGGGCTGCACAGTAGAGGCTATGGGGCATTGCCACACTGGCACGCAGTGGTGCCGGCAGCAGGATGCACTGCAGTGGGAGGCTGTGTGGCATTACCACAGCAGCACACAGGGGTGCCGAGAGGAACAGGGCTGCAGGGCAGAGTACAGAACAGTGCTGAGGGAAGCTGGGCTGTGGGAGCAGTGGTGGCAGTGGTTGCAGCACTGGTTGCAGTGGTGGTTGTGGCAGTGATTGCGGTCTTGGTTGCAGCAGTGGCTGTGGCAGTGGTTGCAGTCGCGGTTGTGGCAGTGGTTGCAGTGGTGGTTGTGGCAGTGGTTGTGGTGGTGGTTGTGGCAGTGATTGCAGTGGTGGTCGCAGCAGTGGCTGTGGCAGTGGTTGCAGTGGCGGTTGTGGCAGTGGTTGCAGTGGTGGTTGTGGCAGTGGTTGTGGTGGCGGTTGTGGCAGTGATTGCAGTGGTGGTTGCAGCACCAGTTGCAGCAGTGGCTGTGGCAGCGGTTGGAGCACCGATTTCAGCACCGGGTGGCTGTGGCAGCGGTTGCAGTGGTGGTTGTGGCAGTGATTGCAGTGGCCGTTGTGGCAGTGTTTGCAGTGGCGGTTGTGGCAGTGATTGCAGTGGCAGTTGCAGCACCGGTCGCAACGGTGGCTGTGGCTGTGGTTGCAGCACCGGTTGCAGCACCGGGTGGCTGTGGCAGTGGTTGCAGTGCTGGTTGTGGCAGTGATTGCAGTGGCCGTTGCAGCACCGGTCACAACGGTGGCTATGGCAGTGGTTGCAGCACCGGTTGCAGTGGTGGCTGTGGCAGTGGTTGCAGCACCGGTTGCAGTGGTGGCTGTGGCAGTGCCGGATGTGCCATGTGTGCTGGCAGGAGGCAGACGGCGGAGGAGCGCGAGGCAGAGCGCCAGCAGGCCAACCGCCTGATGCTGCACCTCCAGCAAGAGGCCTTCCAGAAGAGCCTGAGCCAGCCGCTGCCCCAGGACCCGCTCTGCATGCACAACTCCTCCCTCTACGCCCTGCAGAACCTGCAGCCCTGGGCCGAGGACAACAAGGTGACGTCCGTCTCAGGGGTGGCCTCCGTGGTGTGAGGACCGGAGGTGGGAGCCAGGGGGCTGAGACTGGTGCCTCCAGCCTGCAGCAGGGATGGGGCTGCTGCTTGCGGACCCCCAACCATTGGCAACCCCAGCCCCACCATGGCCCCCCTGTAACCACCCCACAGCTCCGGTTGGGGAAGGTGCTGCTGTGGTTTGACTCAAGCCTGTCTGGATCCCCGTTGTGGGACCCCCTGGGGAACCCAGGGCTGGGCCCCCCACACCTCTGCAAGCCCCGAACCCCCCCCACCAGAGGCCCCTGTTCCTCGGGGGGTCCCACTCAGGACCTCCTGCCCACCCATCAGCAGCTCTCGTGCCTGGACCAGACTCAGCTCCCCCCAGGGTAGCTGCAGTCCCCATGCCACAGCGATTGGGACCCCCCCATTCTGAGTGCTGGGTCCCCCTCTGCCCTTGCCAGCAGCCGCAGTGGGTCTGTAGCACCTGCACACCTTTGCCTTATCCCGGTTGGAGTTTAGCATCTCTGGATGCTGAACCCGGGCCCATGGCCCCCAGCAGTGGGGCAGACTGATGGACAGGCCTGTGACCCCCGGGTGCTCCCGGTTCCCTGCACCCACCAGCTTGCAGCCCTGGGTCTGGACGTGCCCTCACAGCACCCTGCGATGGACTCGGGGCGGCCAAGGATCGCACCAGCCCCACTTTGGACCTCCTTCGCTCACCCCACACGGCCTGATTGTGGGGAGCCAGGGGCTCTGCTGGGGGCTACCCCCCCCTTCCTCCACCAAATAGCCCCCCCTTCCCCGGGGACCCCCTGAGTGTCACCCACCTTTACCAGGGACCCCCCCTGCCCTGTCCCCCCCCCCCCCAAAGTTTGTCCGGGAGCCCGCCCCCCGCCTGGGGTCAGCTCTTGGTTGATGATGGAGGGGAATGGGGGGGGGGGGGGGCTACAGCCATGACCTTGACCTTAAACTTGACCTTGCCCCCCCCTTACCCCTCGCCGCTGTCCATGGTGCTGCAGCCGCTGCACGGGGCGGGTGGGAGCCCCGGCGGGGGCTGCGAACGGGGGGCAGGCTCCTACCGCCCCCCCCATTGCTACCGGGAGGAGGCGGCCAACCGGAGCCGGTTGCCCCGGGATTGGCTGCGGGTCCGTGACGCGGCCCCGTTTTACCGGGGGTGGAACCGTTTCGGCGCCGCCGCAGAACCGCCGGGATGAGCGCGGCCGAAGGCTGCCCCCGGTACCGGCGGGGGGGCGGCGGGGAGGCGGTGCTGCGGGCCCGTGCTGAGGCCGCCGGTTACCGGAGGCTGCTGCGAGCCCGCGCGGCAGAGGTGGAAGCGCTGCGCGGGGCCGTGGGAGCGCTGCACCGGCGGCTGGAGGGGCTGCGGGACCGGCGGAGCGGGGAGGTCGCCAAGTACCAGGTATGGGGGGGACGGGGGGTGTTGGGGCGCGGGGCCTGGACACCGGAGGGCTGGGGGGGGGGGCGGAATGGGGCTGGGAGGGTACCAGTGGGGCAGAGACCGGGATGGGGCTGGGGAATCGCATGGAGGGGGGGTCGAGTGGGGCTGGGAGCGGGGTGCAGAGATCGGGTCGGGGCCTGGGGTCGGGCCGGGGTTTATGGGTCTGGCTGGGGAGGGGGCCCGGGTCCGGGGTCCCGAGGGGAGGGGGGGCGGGTCCGGGGGTCGAATTGGGGTCTGTGAGGCCGGGGGGGCCGGGACCGGGGGTCGTGTCGGGGTCCGGATCGTGTCGGGGTGCGGGGGGGGTCTCGGGCCGGGGTTCCCGGGCGCTGCTGACGGCTCCGATGCAGGAGCGGGTGGCGGAGCTGGAGCGGGAGATCAGCGAGGCGGAGGCGGAGATGCTCCGGTGCCTGCGGGAGTACCCGGCGCTGCTGCGGCTGCGGATGGCGCTGGAGGCCGAGATCGCCGCGTACCGGTACGCGGGGCGGGGGGGGATAGGGCGGTCGTGGGGGGCGCGGGGCTCAGCCCGGGCCTGTCTCTCTGCAGGGAGATGCTGGAGGGGGAAGAGCTGCGTCTGGGCGGGCTGGGGCCGCCGTGACCGGAGCCCGGGCCCCCGACCCCGGACTTCTGCACCTCAGGGTCCCCCGAGCCCCCACTCGCCCCTCGGGACCTCTCGGGACCCCCGCAGCCCCCGTTCTCCTCCTCCCCCGTGCCGCGGGATCCCTGGGCTCCCGTCCCTTGCCCTGGGCCCCCCAGCCCCCGCGGGGCCGCACATTCACCAGCCTCTCCGGAGCAGCAGCGGGGCTGGGGGGGCCCCGGCCCGTGTCAATAAAGCCCCGTGGCATCACCGGGAGCCGGCCCGTCTGTGAGGGGCCTGCACCCTGGGCACCCCCTGCACTGTTGGGGTCCGAGGGTGCTGCGGCCGTGTCCCATTGGGCTGCTCGGATGTGGGGTCTGACCCCGTCCCACCTGGCTGCAGCCCCTCACCCCGGGCTGGGCACCCCATGGGGTGAGTGGGCCTGTGCCCCAGTGGGAGCTGAGGGCCCCCCAGTGCTGGTAGTGGACCCTGACACACCCCACCATGGCCTCATCCTGTCCTAGCACCCTGCACTGGGACTGTCGCTCAGGCAGGGTCCGGCACCCCAGGACATGGGCATGGGGTCTGCCCCCCAAACGTGCCCTCTTGGTATAGGGCAGCACAGGCTGCCCCTAGGGCTGGGGACATGGCCCCACCCCAGCCCCTAGAAAGGATCTGGGGAGGTAGAAGGGGATGAGGTGTGGGGGAGTCCAGAGTGTCCATGTCCTCCAGCGGGACAAGGTTCTGGGGATCTTTTCTGGCCAGGGATGGGAATGGCCACCTACATGGCCTGGTACACGTGTGCACACGTGTGTTGCATGCCTGCTTTCAGCCATGGGTACTGACCCTATGGGCAAGCCCAGCACTGGTGGGAGCAGGAACCCTCCAGGAGCTGTGGGGCAGCGGGGGCCTGGCACAGGCCTGTGACCCCCATGGAGCAGGGGCCAGCCTGGGCACCTTGAGCACAGGAGCCCTGCTTGGGCCATGGTGCCGGGGCACCCAGCACCCCACACAGAGACCAACGGGGTTTGTGGTGGGAAAGCCAAGGCCAGTCTTTAATAGAGGCAGAAACCCTCTTCCAAGCGGCCAGGAGGTCGGTGATGGGTGCTGGTTGCTGCCACCCTGGGGTGCCCCCACGCCCCCGGGCACACGGAGGTGCAGTGGGGCAGAGGATGGGTGCGAGGTCTCGGGCTGCCCTCGGTGGGCTCAGAGTGCTCGCAGCCGGCGCTGCTGGGCTGCCCCGGTCCCGTGCCAGGGGCTCCAGGGGCTCCAGGCGGGGCTGGTGTAGGGGTCCCGGCAGCTGATGCGCACCCGCTGAGCACCGTCCCGCAGCCATGTCTCCTCCTCGCCCTCCACGTATTTGTCGGCCTGCGAGGGGTCAGGATGTGGCCCCGGCGCCCCGACACCAGGGTGGGGGACACCGGCACGTGCCCGGCCCCAGCGGTGCCACTGCCTGGTGTGGGCAGTGCTGGAGGGAGCAGAGGGGACAGCCGGGGGTGACAACTGATCACCCCAAGGAGAGGAGCAGAGCAGTGGGGAGGGGGCCGTTGCTGAGCCCCTGCAAGTCCCTGTTCCTAACGGCACCCCCGGGTGTAAGGAAGAGCCCAGGCTGCGGTGGGGATGGGCAGGGTGGGAACGGGTAGGACGGGACGGGGGCAGAATGGGCGCAGGAAAGCGAGGACACCGGGGGGCACACGCAGGGATGCGCTGGACAGGCCCCCCCCCCCCCCGCTGTTACCTGGGTGCCATTGGGGAGCTCGTACTGCAGCCGGTAGAGGAGGGCGAAGTAGGACCGGGGGAGCGGCCAGGAGGCCGGGGGGGCCCAGGCCAGGTGGAGATGCTCCCCGCGCCGCTGCACGGCCAGCTCCTGCGGTGGGTCGGGCCGCACTGCGGGCACAGCGGGGCTCAGCACCGGGTGCAGCCACCCCCGAGCCCCCTCCCAGTGCCCCCCCGTGGCCCTGCTCACCGATGTCGCGGATGAAGAAGTGGCTGGAGAAGCTGATGTAGGAGGTGTCCGAGAGCCCCTCCAGCTGCAGCCGCAGCGGGCGCAGCTCCTCGGCGAAGGGGCAGAAGAAGGGGTCCACGAAGCTGGCGTTGAAGCGGCCACGGCGGCGGGACGCGGGCACCCACTCGCCCAGGGAGCCGTCGCTGCAAGGGGGGAACGTGAGGCAGGGGAACAAAGGGGCCGTGGGGGTGGCTGGGGTCCCTGGGACACGCACCTGAGGGTGAGGCGGGCGCGGAACACGGCGGAGCGGGGACCGGCCCAGGAGCAGCAGAAGGAGCCGCGGTAGGACTCAGCCTGGCAGGACACGTTCATCCCCTCCTCGCCTGGCGGGGCCGAGGGGAAGCTCGGGCGCTGCATGGGGCCGGGAGCGCTGCCCGTGCCCCGCCCAGCACTCGCGATTCACGAGCATCTCCTGGTGCCCAGCCTGACCCCAGCTCCCTGCATCCCCCTGCCCCATAGCCCCCGTCACCCCATCGCCCCCATCGCCCCCATCACCCCATCGCCCTCATCACCCCATCATCCCCATCACCCTCATTGCCCTCATCACCCCATCGCTCTCATCACCCCATCACCCCCATCGCTCCCATCGCATTCATCACCCCATCACCCCATATTCCCCATCGCCCCCATCGTGCCCCCCAGCCCAGCCGCACGCACGGGTGCCGCTGACCACCACGTAGATGGAGTCCAGCAGCACACCCCCGGCCCAGCAGCTGTAGTTGCCCGCGGCCGGCAGGTCCAAGCCGAGGATCGTGAGGGTCCGACCCTCGGCCACCAGCTCAGCCATGGGCTCCGGCTCCCCGTTCTGCGTCCAGGTCACGCTCTGCTCTGCAGTGTTGCACTTCACCACCACGTCCCCATTCAGCTTCCCCACCCGAACTGGAGAGGAGAGGCAGAGCCTGGGCTCCGAGGAGGGCCCTGGTGGGGCAGCCCGTCCCCCACGCCACGATGGGGCTGGTGCCCCTTGTCCTGGCACACCGTGTCAGAGGTCCATCAAGGGCCATCCTTCTCCATGGTCCTCATTCTGTCCCATGACCCCATGTCCATCCCCCCCCGCTCCTGCACCCCACATCCATCCCCCGGCCCCATCACGGAGCTCCCACTCCCCAGACCTCCCGTGCCCCCCCTCTAACCCCCACACCAGAAGAGCTGCTCCGACCCAAGCTCGTGTTGCCCCACATCAGAGGGATGTGGAATGTGGGTTCTCCCTGCTCACTTCAGCTGTGTGGGTCCTGCACCACCACCCCACCCTACCCCCCGGTGCCTCCCTTCCGAGCCCCCCCCGTTCCGTCAGGGCAGGACTCACACTTTGGGGGGAAGGCGTTCAGGGAGTCCGCAGGAGCGAGGCACAGCACCAGCCCCACCAGCATCAGCATCTGCGGCGGGGAAGGAGGGAAGGGCAGCCCCATGCTGGGAGGGGCCAGCCGGACCGCAGGAGCCGGTGGAGCTGGGGTGCAGGCAGCAGGACCCCGCGGCCCCGGGCGAGTGGTGCAGTGTGGGACAGCCCCACTGATGGAACACCCCAACCCTTCCCACTGCAGCCCCACTGGGTGCCCCCAAGCAGCGGCTGCATTGTTCCACCCAGGCAGCACCTTCCCTGCTGCCCAAAAGCTTGGGCTGCAGCGGCAGAGCCTCCAGCACCTCCAGCATTACCGGTACCCCCGGTACCCCCAGCACCCCCAGCACCTCGCGCTGTTCTCACCTCTCCCGCGGCGTGCACTGCTCCGGGGTCTCAGCCTGGGCCGGGGGCACACGCGGCCGGTTTATAGGGAGCCAGGACCCCGCGGGGCTCCCCAAGGTGCGGCCAAACCGCAGCCCCGGTTCCCAGAAGAGGAGAAAACCCGCTCCGGGTGGAGCCGCTCCGGGGCCGCTCAGCCCCCAGCCCCCGGCAGGGACTCGCCGCTGGCGCCTGCCGGGGCATCGCGGGGCGTGAGGACGGGTCCGCACCGGCAGCCGCCGGGCGCGGGGACAGCGCTGGCACCGGGTTGGTGCCGGAGCCCCGGGTGGTCCCAGCTCGCACAGGGAACCCCAGGAGCGAGGGTTTGCCCATTGCCCTGTGCCGCATCCACAGCCCAGCCACGGCGGGAGCAGGGCCTGCAGTGTGCGGAAGGGGACACCGAGGTCCAGCAGCGCCTGTCCCGCGGGTCTGGTGCGGAGCAAGGCCCTGGCCGGTGGGGCTGTGATGGGTCCCCAAGGGCAGGAACCGGTCCTTGCAGGGGCTCGGGGTGTCTCACCCCTTCCCTCCCCTCCCACGGCTGCTCCGGTCGCATGGATTATCCCATGGGATGCTGTTCCAGGACAGGGATGTGGGGACAGAGGAAGTCACAGCCCGCAGCCTCCTCTTTCCTGTCCCCACAAGCCTTCTGCCTGCTCCTCCACACGGCTGAGGGATGGGATCTCCACTCCCCACGGCGGGGCACCGGGCACTGGCATGGGGCAAGGGGACGAGACAGCCCCAGTGCGGGGCAGGCACCCCCGGGCAGGGAGGTGTGAGCTGCTCCCGCTGCTCCCGGCCACTCCGGTTCTGTGGTTCCTAGAAGGCGAAGGGGAAGCTCGGGCTCGGAGGAGGCTGCAGGGGAAGGGGTGACCTTCGAGGCACTGCGGCAGGGACAGGGCCACGGAGCCTCCAGGCTCTTTCCATGGAACAGCAAAGTCCGATGTGTGGGCTGCGGGGAGGGAAGGGGGGGCAGGGGGGCTGTTGGGATGCAGCACCTATGGCAGTGGGGGAGTCCGATCCTGGGGCAGGGCTGGAACTCAGCACCCAGAGCACAGCGCTTGTGATGGGGTCCCAGCCCCCAGGCAGCAGCTCAGCCCTTGGCCCTGGACATGGGACCCAGGACAGGAATGGAACGCATGGAGTGCAGGCAGGCCAAGGGCAAGGTCCTGCTCCTGGGTCAGCACAACTCCCACATCGAATAGCCTGGGGGAGAAGGGATGGAGCAGCCTGAAGAGAAGGACCTGGGTGAGGAGGAGCTCGCCATGACCTGGCTTCAGTGAGTGTTTGAGCCCAGAACCCCCCCGTGTGCTGGGTGCACCCCCAGAGCATGAGCAGCAGCTCAGGGAGGGGATCCTGCCCCTCTGCTGTGGGATGGGGAGACCCCCCTGCAGTCCTGATCCAGGCACAAGAGGGACGTGGAGCTGGTGGAGTGAGTGCAGAGGAAGCTGCGGAGCTGCTGTGAGGGCTGGAGCAGCCCTGCCCTGGAGCCAGGCTGAGAGAGCCTGGAGAAGAGAAGGCTGCTGAAGGGGAGACCTCAGAGCAGCTCCAGTGCCTAAAGGGGCTGCAGGAAAGCTGGAGAGGGGCTTTGGACAAGGGCCTGTAGGGACAGGCCAAGGGGAATAGCTTTAACCTGCCAGAGGGGAGACTGAGATGAGCTCTTAGGCAGAAGCTCTTCCCTGTGAGGGTGCTGAGGCACTGGCACAGGGTGCCCAGAGAAGCTGTGGCTGCCCCATCCCTGGCAGTCCTCAAGGCCAGGTTGGACACAGGGGCTTGGAGCAAGCTGCTCCAGTGGAAGGGGTCCCTGCCCGTGGCAGGGGGTTGGAACTGGAGGAGCTTTAAGGTCCCTTCAACACGAGCCAGTCCAATTCAATGATTCTATGACTGCTGGAAAGCTGAAGGGGACCTCGGGAGTGACGTGGGCTCCTTGCTGTGGTGGAGCACCCTCAACTGATCCCAGGGAGCAGGAGCTGGATGCTCACACTGGATGTACACACTGGGTGCACACGTTGGATGCTCATACTGGATGCAGTCACTGGCTGCACATGCTGGATGCTCACACTGGATGCAGTCACTGGCTGCACACTCTGGATACTCACACTGGCTGCAGTCACTGGCTGCACACGCTGGATGCTCACACTGGATGCAGTCACTGGCTGCACACGCTGGATGCTCACACTGGATGCAGTCACTGGCTGCACACGCTGGATGCTCACACTGGATGCAGTCACTGGCTGCACACGCTGGATGCTCATACTGGATGCAGTCACTGGCTGCACATGCTGGATGCTCACACTGGATGCTCACACTGGCTGCACACACTGGCTGCACACTCTGGATGCACACTCTGGATGCAGCCACTGGCTGCGCTCACCGGATGCAGGCACAGGGGGCACCGCCCGCTCCCACCCACCCGCGGCCGCAGCTTCCCCTCCGTTTCTGCAGAAGAGCCTCGCCTGCGGCGGGGAAGCCCCGGGGCAAAGGCCAGGGCTGCCCTCGGCGAGTCAGCGGCCGCGGCGGAGGCGGCGGGCGCAGGGCGCGGGCGCTGCACGGGCAGAAAGCCCCGGCGCGGGCGGCGGGGATGGACGCGAGGCCGGCAGCAAAGGTCGCAGAACTTTATACAGGAGAGACCCACGAGCGGCCCCTGGCGCTGCTCCCCCGGCACGGGGGGCACGGGACGGCCTCAGCCCCACGGCAGCCCCCGGAGAACGCGGGCTGATGGAGTGGGGGGTTCCCTGCGCGACTCCTCGGGGCCGGCGCTCCCCGGCCTGGGCTCTGTCCCGGGGCCGGTCCCGGTGCCCGCGGTGCTGCTGCGGAAGCCGCAGCCCGGCCCGTGCCTCCCGGTGATGGATGGGGTCAGCACCGCGGCTTCCCTCCCGCCGGGAGCTCCCCGCTCCCCGGGGTCCCGGCCAAGCGCAGGCAGCCCCGACGCGGGGCTCCGGCGGCTGCGGCTCACTGCAGCACACACACCTCCTTGTCCTCATCCTCATCCTCATCCTCATCCCCGCCGCCGGGCGCTGCTCCCAGCGCTGTGGGCACCGTCGACGCGTCCTCCCCAGCCGCCACCTCCTCCCGCAGCGCCATGAGCAGGTCGCGGCTCTCGCTGGGCGGGAGGTTGCTCAGGTAGTATTGGGGTGCCAGCGCCACCAGCCTGCGGGACAGGGACAGGGAGTGACCCGGGGGTTCCCAGGGCTCCGCCGCGCTCCGGGGCCAGGCCCTCATCCCCCGGTGCTCACATTTGGGGCTGGATCTCCGAGACCACGCGCAGGCAGTTGTCCTGCGAGATGGTGAACTCGTGGTACAGCACCCACGGGGGCAGGCGCCGGGGGGGCTGCCGCAGCAGGTAGCAGCAGGCGGGGGGCAAGTGGGCCACGTGCTTGTGCGTCAGCATCACATAGTTGCCGGAGCCGTCGATGTCCCGGGCTACCTGCGGAGCGCATGGGATGGGAGCGGGGATGGAATGACCCTCCCCGTCCCGCAGCCGGACCCCACAGCCCCTGTCCCACCTTGAGGAAGTATCCGGAGATGAGGGCTCTCTGGATGTTGCACACATTGGCGTGGGTGCCGAAAGCAGGGGGGGACACGGGCAGCTCGATGCGCTGCATCACCTCCAGCAGCTCCGCACGCACGGTGCCGGCCAGCCGCAGTGCAGCCGCGTTCACCGCGTGCTTGCGGCACCAGCCCTCGTCCGCCTCATCTGCGGGACAGCACCGTGGGGACAGTGAGGACAGCACCACGGGGACAGCAGCATGGGGACAGCGAGGACAGCACCATGGGGACAGCACCGTGGGGACAGCGAGGACAGCACCACGGGGACAGCGAGGACAGCACCATGGGGACAGCACCGTGGGGACAGTGTGGACAGCACCATGGGGACAGCACCGTGGGGACAGCGAGGACAGCACCACGGGGACAGCGAGGACAGCACCATGGGGACAGCACCGTGGGGACAGTGTGGACAGCACCAGGGGGACAGCACCGTGGGGACAGTGTGGACAGCACCACGGGGACAGCAGCATGGGGACAGCACCGTGGGGACAGCGAGGACAGCACCATGGGGACAGCACCGTGGGGACAGCGAGGACAGCACCACGGGGACAGCAGCATGGGGACAGCGAGGACAGCACCATGAAGACAGCACCAATGGGGGCAGTGAGGACAGCACCGTGGGGACAGCACCAATGGGGACAGCGAGGACAGCACCATGAAGACAGCACCAATGGGGGCAGTGAGGACAGCACCGTGGGGACAGCACCAATGGGGGCAGCGAGGACAGCACCATGGGGACAGTGAGGACAGCACCATGGGGACAGCACCAATGGGGGCAGCGAGGACAGCACCATGGGGACAGCACCAATGGGGGCAGCGAGGACAGCACCATGGGGACAGCACCAATGGGGGCAGCGAGGACAGCACCATGGGGACAGCACCAATGGGGGCAGTGAGGACAGCACCATGGGGACAGCACCAATGGGGGCAGTGAGGACAGCACCATGGGGACAGCACCAATGGGGGCAGTGAGGACAGCACCATGGGGACAGCACCAATGGGGACAGTGAGGACAGCACCATGGGGACAGCACCGTGGGGACAGCACCAACAGGGGCAGCGAGGACAGCACTGGGGGGACAGGTTCAGCACCCTGAGGACATGGCTGGGCAAGAAGAGACCCCAGCAGGTGGCCTGGCTGGGCTGGGTGGTCCTGGGCCATGAAGCCAGGAACTGCAGCTCCCACAGGCTGCATCCCCTCAACGCAGAGGGGACAGTGACCAAGCAGAAAAGAGGGCCCTAGGCTGGGACCCTCCCGCAGCTGGGGTGGGCACTGGAGGGGTCACAAATGTGGCTGCAGGGCTTGGTCCCAGAAGGAGCAGGGGACTCAGGATACAAGGGTGAGCCAGGGACACAGGGGGGGAGCTGAGGACACCCCGGCGCCGCACTCACGCTGCTGGAAGGCATTGAAGATGTTGATGAGGGTGAAGTGGTCTCCGTCTGGGTGCAGCAGGGCCCGGCGGTGCATGGCCACGGCCTCCTCCATGTGTGTGGCAGGCGGCAGGAAGCAGGGGGAGGCTGGGACGGAGCAGAGGGAATGTCACCATGGGTCCCCAGCACCGCCCCGGTCAGCGCTGGCCTGGGGAGCTGCAGCCCCCCCCACGGTACCGGTGAGCATGGCGGCCAGGCTGACCATCTCCTCCACGCAGTCGAACTCGCAGGACGCGATGAGCGCCTTGGCCAGCTGAGGATCCAGTGGGAATTCCGACATGATGATCCCCACCTCCGACAGGTTCCCGTCGTCGTCCAGGGCGGCCAAATAATCCAGGTCCTCCAGTGCTTGCATCAGTGATTCGGGCGCTGCGGCGGGGTCGGCGGCTGCAGCACCAGGCAGCCCCCCCGACCTCCTCCTGCACCCACGGGACCCTCCGGCCCCTCGCCAGGACAAGCCGGGCTGCAGGCAGGGTCGTGGCCACGGCTCCGGCCCCCGCCAGCCCCGGGCAGTACCTGGCCGGTCAAGGAAGTCGCACTGGCCCATGTCGGCGATGTCCAGGCGCTTGAGCAGCAGCACGAGGCGGCTGAGGCTGGTCTCGCTGACGTGGGGCGCGGGGCTGGGCGGCAGCCGCTGCTCATAGAAGGACTCTGAGTAGAGGCGCAGGCAGGTGCCTGGGGAGAGGGGCCGTGAGCCTGCGCCGGCAGCGCCGGAGCCCCGCAGGTTTAGGTGCGGTTGAGGTCTCACCTGGGGGGCTGCCGGCAGCTCGCTCCATGCGGGACTGGGCCTGGCTCTTGCTGATGGGCCGCAGGACCTGGGACTCTGCCCGGATGCGCGGGTTGTAGACCTGCAGCACAGGAGAGGTGAGGAGGGACCTGCACAGAGGAGCCCCCCCTGCTCCCCAGCCCCTCCATCCTGTTGGTGCAGCCGCCAAGGCCTGGGGCAGGTCCTGTGCCCTGCACAGCATCCCCCAGCCTGGGTCTGCACTGAGCAGATGACCCAGACCAACGCTTCCATGCTGTTCCCTCCACAGAATCACCATGGCCTGTCCCCACCTGCCACCCCACCCCATCCCATCCCACCCACCCCATCCCACCCACCCCATCCCACCCCACCCCATCCCATCCCACCCCACCCCATCCCATCCCACCCCACCCCATCCCACCCCACCCACACCATCCCACCCCACCCCATCCCACCCCACCCCATCCCACCCCATCCCACCCACCCCATCACACCCCACCCCATCCCACCCCACCCCACCCCATCCCATCCCACCCCATCCCACTTCTCACGCTGCGCAGCTCCAGGCCGGTGTCGATGACGAAGCGGATGCCGCCCATGGAGAAGGAGGCCTCGGCCAGCCCGTGGCTGACGACGACACGGCGCTCGCGGCCGCCCTCCTCCAGCCCCTCGTAAAGCCTCTGCACGGCGCGGCCCACGCCGGGGTGCAGCGGCAGCACCAGCAGCGGGCCCAGCCCTGGGTGCAGCGCGGCCGCCTCGCCCCGCAGGGCACTGCAGGCCTCGGTGATCTCCTGTGATGGGGACAGAGCTGAGCAGGGCCCTGCACCTGCAGGGACCCTTCACAGCAGAGCCCAGCTCCTGCAGCTTAACCCCAGCAGCTCCTGGGTCCCTGGGGCTCCCCACACGCAGCTGAGGGGGGTCACAGAATCCCAGCATGGGTTGGGTTGAAGGGGCCTTAAAGCTCCTCCAGCTCCAACCCCTGCCACGGGCAGGGACCCCTTCCACTGGAGCAGCTTGCTCCAAGCCCCTGTGTCCAACCTGGCCTTGAACACTGCCAGGGATGGGGCAGCCACAGCTTCTCTGGGCACCCTGTGCCAGCGCCTCAGCACCCTCACAGGGAAGAGCTTCTGCCTAAGGGCTCAGCTCAGTCTCCTCTCTGACAGGTTAAAGCCATTCCCCTTGGCCTGTCCCCAGACCCTCCCCTGCCCCGTGTCACAGAGCACCCCCCGCATGCCATGGTGCCCCCACCTGCTCGCTGGCCATGAAGAGCAGGATGTGGCCAGGCTCCTGCCGCCTGTGGATGTCCAGCACTGCCTGGCAGGCAGCGGCGATGCGGCCGCGCGCCGGCGGGTCTCGGTACAGCAGCGCCGGGGGGTCCCCGTGCGCCGGCACCCGCACCACAGGGGGGTCCCCGCAGAAGGCGCGGAGCCGCTCCTCCATGGCCAGCGAGGTGACCACCACCACCTTGAGCGCGGGGCGCTGGCGCAGCACATCCTTGAGCAGCCCCAGCAGCACGTCCGTGGGCACCGTGCGCTCCTGCGCCTCGTCCAGCACCACCACCCCGTACTGCCGCAGCAGCGGGTCCGACGTCATCTCCCGCAGCAGCATCTCATCCGAGCAGTACCTGCCATGGGCCGCCCCGTCAGCGACACCCGGCACACACCGTGTCCCCCCCCACCAGCGGGAGCCCCCCCCCCCCAGCCACCGCCTCCCCCCCCGGAGCTCCCAACCAGGCCAGGCTGGATTAAGGGATTACCCTGCAGCCGGCGCTCAGCAGGATTAGAGCGTGGTGTAACCGGTGCCCCCGGGGCCGGTACCTGAGGATAGTCTCCGTGGTGCAGCAGTCCTCGTGGGGCACGCAGTAGCCCACCTCGTGGCCCAGGTTCAGGTCCATCTCGTCCGCCACGCGCAGGGAGAGGCTGAGGGCGGCCAGGCTGTGGGGCTGGGTGCAGGCCACCACCCCGTGGGCGAACTGCAGGGACAGGGCGTACTCTGCGCACCACTGCGGGATCTGCAGCGGGGAGGAAGCTGCTCAGGGACTGGGACAGCGCAGCCACGGCCCCAAGCACCGGGCTGCTCCTTTCCCATCCTCATCATGGAGCAGCGCCCGCCATGCTCCCAGCCTGGTTTGGGTTGAAGGGACCTTAAAGCTCCTCCAGCTCCAACCCCTGCCACGGGCAGGGACCCCTTCCACTGCAGCAGCTTGCTCCAAGCCCCTGTGTCCAACCTGGCCTTGAGCACTGCCAGGGATGGGGCAGCCACAGCTTCTCCAGGACACCCATTCCAGTACCTCACCCAGGGCAGTCCCCAGGGATCTGGCTGTTGGGGCCTTCCAGGAGCACCCAACAGTCCAGGCAGGACTTTCCCCTCTCTGTTATTGTCACTTCTGCACCCAACAACCTGCAAATGAGCCCCCAAACCTCCTCAACGCATGCCTGCAGCTTTCTGCCACCTTACAGCACGCAATAGCCCCGGCTCTCACATGAAGGACATGGGACAACAGCTCTGCCTCCACCTCCCCAGGGACAACAGGGCTGGGGGCTGCGTGTGGCCAAAGGCACCAGCTCAGCCAGAGCAGAGCCTCCAGGCCCTGTGTGACAGGACTCCAGAGGCATCTGGACAACGTCCTTCAGAACGTGCTTTACTTTGTGGTCAGTGGCAGGCAGTTGGACAAGGGCATGGGTGCAGGACCCACCATGCTCGGCTATAACCAGCATGGATGGAGCTGGAGTGGAGCAATGTGCCTGTCCTGGGCAGTGTCAGTGGCCAGCTCCAGGAGACTCAGACCCTGCAGCAGCTGCAGGTCTAGGGCAGGGGCTCGAGCATCCTCGTATGGGGCCAGAGGGATCACAAAGTGTCCCAGGAAACCCCACGTAAGGGATGGGGCAGGAAGCGCTCAGAAGCAGGCACTGCCCAAGCACCCTCCAGGTGGTGCAGGATGGTCCCAGGGCCATGTAGGTGTCTCCTGGCCATGATAAGGGGGAAGGGACCTGGCCTGTGCATCACCTCTTCCCGTTCTGGGTGGGAATACCATGTCTGAGGGGTGCTGGGGCACCAATATGGATGGAGCCGTGTCCCATGGGCTGCTCAGGGCACGGTGGCACAGCAGGGATGCCCCCAGGGCAGCTCAGCCCCGGGGCCAGCCCAGGCCAGGCCCCGCACAAAGGCTTTAGTCCTGAAATCTGGCACCCTGCGGTTGGCTGGTGCCAGGGGATCACACCCAAGGGAGGAGGTTTGGGCACAGGGCCCTGGAGCCAACACCCACAGCTCCGAGCCTGGTGGCTGCCACGCAGCACCCAGTGCGCACCCAGCCCCGCACCCAGCCCCGCGGCTCCGGCAGCTCCCAGCAGATCCCTCCCCTGGCCAAAGTCTGCCTGATGGCGTCTCCGACGCCGCGCCAGGGCTGTCAACAGAACCAGCTCCGGGAGCACCCCGGCCCTGCAGCTACATCCTGGTCCCGGTGCTGTGCCCTGCTCCCGGCTCGGGCCGAGGCTTTGCCTGGGGCCCCAGTGCCTGCCCTGGCACATCCTGGCACCGCCAGGCTCTGCAGCAGCCGCACACCGGGCTCACCGCGGGGCACGCTGCTGGGCACAGCACCTGTGGGGCCTCGCACCCCCCGTGCCCCCAAGCCAGATGATGCCATGGGGGAAGGAGCACGGGCAGAGCATCCCTGTGCCAGGGTCCCACCTCGCAGCACCACAACACGGCCCTGCTCACCTGGGTGCTCTTGCCGGTGCCAGGGGGCCCAGACACGAGGACGATGCCGCTGTTGCCTTCCAAGTGCTCCATGAAGCTGTACTTGGTGGTCCAGACGGGCAGGTCCCGGCGCTGCCGCAGCAGCTCGTAGTAGCGGGAGGAGAAGGGCAGCCCATCGTAGGGGTTCACCTCCAGGTCGCCACCGCAGCCCAGCGCCGGCTCCTCCTCCTCCTCCTCGTCCTCCTCCTTCTCCAGCGCGGGGCCGGGGCCGTTCCGCCGGGGCGCGGACCCCGGGGCCCCGTTGCCGGCCATGGCGAGGACACGGCGCCGAGGCTGCAGGGGTGGGGAGGTGGAGAGGGGCGGGGACGGGCCGGGGCTGATCCCCACTCGCCCGCGTCCCTCGGAGGAGCCCGGTGCTGCCCACCGGCCCCTTACACCGGGGGAACCTGCGGGGCACAGGGGACCCGGCAGGGCAGGCAGGGAACCCGGCTGGGGTGCGGGGACCAGGGGAACGCAGGTGGGGAACCGCGGCGGGCTCTGTACGGGGACCGGGCCGGGGCGCGGGGCAGCGCGGACCCCTCGGAGGCAGGCGGACAGAACGGCACGGGCCGGGCCGGGGGCACAGCGGTGAGGGACGGACCGGGCGGGGCACAGAGCACCGGGAGCGGACGGGTCGGGGCCGGGTGTCCCGGGTCGCCCCCCCCCGAACCGCGGCTCCGGTTCCGGTTCCGGTTCGGGCCTGTCCCGGCCACCGCTCACCTGTGCGCGCCACCGCCGCCTCGGGCCCAGCCGCGGGAGGCGGTCAGGTGACGGCGCCGCCGTCACGTGGCCCTGCCCGCGGCAGCCAATCAAAGCTCAGGGGCGGAGCCCAACTGCCGGTGGAGGCGCGTCGCGGTGTGTGTGTGATCGGGGTCACCGGAGGGACCCGATGCTGGTGCGATCTCTGCCGGAGCCCGCCCCGAGCCCGCCCCGAGCCCGCCCCGAGCCCTACCGCCAGGCGCGCTCTCCCGCCGCCGCCGTTCCTCCGCCGCGGGCCCGGAGCGCGGCCCGGCCCTGGCTGCGGTGCTCTCCTGGTGCCGCTCCGCGCATCCCGGTGCCTGTGCGGGGCCACCCGGTACCGGGCATCCCAGTGCCGGTCAGAGAGTGCCGGTCCGGTTATCCCAATTCCCGTGTTGGGCATCCCGCTGCCGGTCCGAGCGTCCTGGTGCCGGTGCTGTACAGCCGGTGCCGGGACCCACGCCCAGAGCGGGCGCTCTCCGCTCGCTGTGGCTCCCGGCGTGCGGCGGCGGGGCCAGCAGGTGGAGCTGCCAGACCGGCAACGGCCCGGCCCGGCCACGGAGCTCCCGCCGGCGCGGGGGCAGCTGGCAGAGACCGGGCGGTTCCTTGCGGGTCCCGAGACTTCGGCACCGGAAGCCGCTGGGAGGTGTCCAGGATCCCCGGCTGCCGGCGGGAAGGGATGCTCTGGGCCTGGCTGCCGTTACCGGTTACAGCTCCGCCCCGCTGCCTCTCGCACCGGCCCCAGCCGCAGCTCCCCATGTGCAAGGTCCTGTCCCTGGGTCAGGGCAATCAACAGCACAAACCCACGCGGGGGGATGAAGGGATGGAGCAGCCCTGAGGAGGAGGACTTGGGGGTGTTGGGTGAGGAGCAGCTCCCCATGACCCGGCTTCAGTGAGCGCTTGAGCCCAGACGCCCCCCCCATGTGCTGGGTGCAACCCCAGAGCGTGAGCAGCAGCTCAGGGAGGGGATCCTGCCCCTCTGCTGTGCTCTGGGGAGACCCCCCTGAAGTCCTGATCCAGCTCTGGGGCAGCAGCACAAGAGGGACGTGGAGCTGGTGGAGAGAGTGCAGAGGAAGCTGCGGAGCTGCTGCGAGGGCTGGAGGGGGCTCTGCTCTGGAGCCAGGCTGAGGAGCAGGCTCGGGCTGGGGGGGTCAGCAGGGGGAAGGAGCCTGGCGCTGCCTCAAGGCTCCGATGCAGATGGGAGAGCAGCAGCCAGGCCAGGGCAGGTCCTGGGGGCCGGGGCTCCTGAGGCCGTGCTGGGGGAGAGGGCCCGGCCAGCGCTGGTGCGGGGCGAGCATCCGGTCCCCGTGGCCGGCGGGTGCGCAGCCGGCGGGAGGAAGGAAGTGGCTGATGCTGAACCATTGCTTCACTCCCCATCCCGGTGCTGCCGAGAGCTCAGGGCTCACCGAGCCCTGGGTGCTGCCGTGCACCCCGCCAGCACTTGCACCGTTGAGCCCTGTGCACCGAGGGATGGGAGGGGACATCTTCGAGTGGAAAGGCTGAGGCCATGTCCCAGCAGTGGTCATCCGGAGCGGTGTGGTTGGAGAGGGACTTCTGACAGGGGCCTGGAGGGGCAGGACAAGGGGAATGGCTTTAACCTGCCCGAGGGGAGACTGAGATGAGCTCTTAGGCAGAAGCTCTTCCCTGTGAGGGTGCTGAGGCGCTGGCGCAGGGTGCCCAGAGAAGCCGTGGCTGCCCCATCCCTGGCAGTGTTCAAGGCCAGGTTGGACACAGGGGCTTGGAGCAAGCTGCTCTAGTGGAAGGGGTCCCTGCCCGTGGCAGGGGTTGGGGCTAGAGGAGCTTTAGGGTCCATTCCAACACAGTCTGCGATTCTATGGTCCAAGCCCAGAGATCCCTGTGCTTCCTGTCTGGAGCTGCTCTTGCTCCCTGCTCCAGCCCCGTGTCCTGCTCTGCCGGGCTCTGGCAGCAGTGCTCAGCTGCAGGGTCTCACGATGCAGCAGCATCACCCGAGGCCAGTAGCCCTATCACACCCCGCGGTCAGCCCCGGGGACCCATCAGAGCCCAGGCCCTGGGGGCTCCATCCCCATCACCCAGCATGGTCCGGGGGGGGCCCGGAGCCCCCCCTCTGTGCGCTGAGGAACCGGAGGTTTGCACAAGCCGGTGAGCCCCACGTGACCCGCGAGCAGCGCGGCGGCAGGAGGAACCCACGGCCGCCCCACGCCCGGTCTGCACGGCCCCGGCCATGGCCCCGTGGCTGCCCACCAAGGAGGAGAAGTACGGCGTGGGTGAGTCACGGCACCGCCGTGTCACGGCGTGGCTTGGCTTGAAGGGACCTTAAAGCTCCTCCGGCCCCAACCCCTGCCACGGGCAGGGACCCCCTCCCCTAGAGCAGCTTGCCCCAAGCCCCTGTGTCCAACCTGGCCTTGAACACTGCCAGGCATGGGGCAGCCACAGCTTCCCTGGGCTCCCCGGAGGGATGTGGGGCTGGGCGATGCTGACAGTGACCCCGTGGCCCCACAACCTTGGGCTAAGACACAGCGGGTGATGGTGGTTGTGCGATGGTGACCAGTGCCACGGTGCAGGAAGGGACCGTGTGCCCCTGATGCTGGGGCAAGAATGAACCCCGGGGCCACTGGGGGGCTGTAGAGTGGGTGATGGGGACCCAGGGCACGGGGCTGAGAAGGGTTGGTGATGGCAGCACCCATGTCCCTGGGGCAGGGCTGATGCTGAGTGGGATGGGGAGTTGTGGGGAGCTGTGGGGCTGGTGCTGGTTGGGATGGAAAGCTGTGAGGAGCGGTGAGGCTGTGGGGCTGAGCAGGGCTGGTGTTGGCTGGGATGGGGAGCTGTGGCGGGCTGTGGGGCTGAGCAGGGCTGGTGTTGGCTGCGATGGGGAGCTGCTGGGAGCTGTGGGGCTGAGCGGGGCTGGTGTTGGCTGGGATGGGGAGCTGCAGGGAGCTGTGGGGCTGAGAGAGACTGGGCAGAGCTGTGGGACAGGGGCTTGGCACGGGATCCCTGCAGAGCTCTGGGTTGGGCTCAGCCTGTTGAGGGGCAGAAGCCTCCACCCGAGCGGTGCTCATTGTGTTAAGGCAGTTGCTGGCACACGGATGAGCTGCTCTCAAGGCGGTGTCTGGGGCACCCCGGAGCCACCGCTATAACTTACCCCAGTCCTATGTGAGCACTCGCTCCCCGTGCCCCGCACCGGCCGTGGCAGCCCTGTTCCTGTTCCTGTTCCCGTTTCTGGCCGGGACCGTTCCCGTCCCCCGCCCCTGCGCCCTGCCCATGCTCTGCGGCAGCACCGGAGCCAGCGCTGAGCCCGCGGGGTCCTGGGCAGCGCTGGGGCTGGGTCCCTCTCGTGTCTGCTGGAATCCTGCCCTGGCTGGGCCTGGGGGTGGGAAGGGGCTGGGGCTGGTCCCCGTGAGCACGGCAGGGGGAGGGAGGGGGGGTCCCGTGGCACCTCAGGACTCCGGTGCTCCCGGTGCGCTGTGGCCAGCGCGGGGGTCCCGGCTCCGGGGGTGTCCCAGGATGAGCGGGCCTTGGCCGGGGCTGGGGGTGGGCACAGGGGGGTCGGGTACGGCCGCAGGGTCTGAGCCCGCGGTGCTGCGGCCAAGCCCGCGCTGGCTCCGCCAGGCAGAGCTGTCCCTGTTCCCCCCGCCAGGAAGAGCGGCAGCGCAAGCACAGAGCGGAGGGGGCAGCCCCGCTGCCCCGCTCCTGCTCCTGCTGTCCCTGTGCTGCAGGGACCAGGGTCCCTCCCACCCTGTTCCGTGCCTACCTGGGGGTCTCACCCCGTCTGTGTGGGGTTGGGACCCTGCACCATGTCTGGGGGCTGAGCGATGCTCACTGGGGTGGTGCTACCTCCCATGGGGGGGCTGCCCATGGGATGCCCCAAGGGACACTGTGCACAGGGCCTGGGGGGCTGCGCTGGTGATGGGCGTCCGAGTTGTGGCCCCCCATGGCTCCCTTCCCCTCCTCTGCAGCCGTGTGGAACTTCCCCCGCACGAGCGAGCATCACCTGGAGCTGCACATCGGGGAGACGGTGCACATCCTGCAGGCCTCCGAGGGTAAGGGGCTCCCCAACCCTGCCCCTGCCCTGTGCACCCTGAGCCTCGCTGACACCATCCCCTTCCCTCCCTGGCAGGCTGGTACCGCGGGTACTCGCTCAGGAACCGGGCTGCCTGGGTAGGTGAGGGCTGCTGGGGGGTGCAGGCACGGCGGTGTTTGTGGTGTCCCTGCTGGGGACACGCACCGGGCACCCTGTTGCATGGCCAGGCTGGGACCCTCTGTGGGAACTCCGGTCCTGGTGCAGGGAGCACCCACCGCAGCCCATCTACCACGGGGTGGGTGCTGATGGCTCTGGCTCCCCCAGGGCATCTTCCCGGCCTCGCTCATCCACCTGAAGGGTGCCGTGGTGGAGCGCAGGGGGTAGGTACCGGGCACGGGCACAGGCATGGCTGTGGGTGATGGTGCCCACCTCTGGTGCCGCAGGGCTGCAGGCTCCCTGTGCCCCTCCTTAGGGCAGAGGAGAGCGTGGTCCCCACCGAGATGCCCATGGTGCAGGAGATCACCACCACGCTGCGGGAGTGGGCCACCATCTGGAAGCAGCTCTATGTGGTGAGCAGCGGGGGGATGCGGGGCCTGGGGACACCAGGGCACAGGGGTGACGCGGGTGCTGCCACAGGCAGGGCAGATGGAGCGGTACGGTCGTGTGAGGCAGATGATGTGTGAGCTGATGGAGCGGCGCTCGCAGCTGCTCTCTGGGACGCTGCCCAAGGACGAGCTCCTGCAGCTCAAGAAGGAGGTGACCGGCAAGATCGACTACGGCAACAAGTGAGAGAGGGGATGGGGTGGAGGGGTACTGGGGTCACCCCTCTGCTGCAGTGTCCCCACTGCTCTGTGGTGGCCAGTGAGTGTGCTGGTGGCTGTGCAAGGCACCGAGCCAGAGGCTAGTGCCTGGTGCCACTGGTTCTTGTCCCCTTGCCATGGATCTGCTGCTCGTGGGGACCCATCACCCTCTGTCCTGCACCCTCATCCCCCGTGCCCGTGCATGGGCAGGCGGGTCCCGGTGGGATGCACAGACC